TAAGTGAATTGACCCTACAGAGCCACGCTGCTTCAAGGATAGCTTAGTCATCAAACGAGCAATCCTCCTAGCCTCGCCGAACGTGCCATCTCAACCATGGAAAGCCTCATGGACAAGGTCATTGAAAAGGTCTCTGGGAAGGAGTGGCATTACGAGGCTTTGTCTTTGCCCCAGGTCGGTCACATGCCCGCCTCCGACATAGCCGAGCCGATCACTATAGAACAATTCCTCCAAGCTGCTTGCCGCAGATGCGACCATGTCAAGAGCACAACCCTCCTCTTCGATGTACATTTCAAGGTGGCCGAGTTCGGTGGCCTTGCCCGTGTCGGCGAGCTCATACAACAAGGTGAACTTGATCATCTGCCTCTTCCCCTTTGTCTCGGTGGCAAACTTCCTCCAAGTGCGAAGATGGGTGCCGTGATTCAGAACCTAGAGGACGGGACAATGAATGTGGTGAAGATTCTTCACTTCCCAGACAAGGTCTGTGTCGCTCATGTCTCCAAGCTTTGCACTGGAAATGCCTATGTTCCTGTCTTCCGGCAAGGCGAGAGTAGTTTGAAAAAGATGATGCAGTCTGTTGCACTGTAAGCCAACATCCGCATGTAGCAGTTTGCTCGATCCCTTAAGTCTCTATGTGTCCCCTGACAAGGACCGTGGGCTGTCAAGAAAGCGGTGCAGCACTTGTTGCAACGCCTTCATGGATTCCGCATCATGTGGAATCAGGTGTCAGAGAAACAGCCAAGCATGCGGAAGACACAGTCGGCACAGTGGGCCCCGGAAGATGAGGAGCTTCGGAAGGGCATCGACTTCATAAATTCACTGGCACCAGAAGGTGATGCTTTAAATGAGCAAACCTTTTGGATCCTTTCGTCCATCCGCGAGCAGCCGGGCACTCCAATAGAGGGTTGGCCAGAGTCCAAGGTTCGGAACATGGCCCAGAACAAGAGCCGTGGGCTCGCTGGCGCACAGCCACTGTCGCACTACCCTCTGCACACGTACAGCATGAAAGACTTCATGTCTACTGTGTTGCTGCCGCTGATATATCCTCTTCTTGTCGTTCATGGTATCATCATGGTGGGTTGGCCTGGGGTGGGGAAGACCCCGGCCTTGATATGCATGATTGTGGCTATTGGCAGGTACCACATCCGAAAACTTGGTCTGAACACCCAGCCGAGCTGGAGAAGGGCCAAGGCCTTAGACAATTTCCGACATCGCATTCCCCAGCTCTACGAGGGAGTTTTTCTCGACGACCCGAGTCGTGAGAAAATT